GCCAAGGAGTCGGCTATTTCGTTACCTTCCATACCAGAGTGACTAGGTATCCAGATCAGAGTCACTTTGTTGTTTTTGCTCAAATGATTTAGAGACTTCTGACAGTTCTATACTGTTTTGGAGTTACACCGGTAGGAGCCAAGAGCTTTTATAGCTGTTTGGCTATCCAAGAAAATTTTAATCGATCTGCGTGTAAGATACATATATTCCAGCCTTCGCACACACAGTGCAATGGCATGAACCTTGGCCTAAAAAAATTGTTGCATTAGTACGTAGGCTTGAGGATATCCTCACCCTTGGTCTGTAGTTATGTACTCCTGCTCTTGTTCCCTCGGAAGTTTTAGAGCAGTCTGTAAACCAGCAACTGTCTGCCCTCAGTAGGTCAGCTTTATTCCAATCCCACTCATCTCTTTTCGGAAAAAGGATGTTGAAGATCAGCTCATAGTTGGTCATGATAGGCACAGAATTCGAGGGCATTCCCAGGATGTCGTGACTCTCTATGTCATCCAGCAACCTGTTCTGCTCCATGATCTAGTCTGCGACATATTAATGGTCTCTTGTTGCAGTCTATACGTTGCCCACCTAACTTCTCTCTCCAAATATATACGAAGAGGGGGTAAGTTCAGGAGTATTTCCATTGCAGCTGAGGGTGTGGTGCCAATTGCCACCGTTACGGTCAAGCAGCTAATATCTGCAATCCAGAGAGTTTGGCTCTGGCCGTCTGTGGTGATCCTTTTGGCTACCAAATGATGGATCCGTATGTTATCATTAGTCTGATGACCCTGCCCTAAATTTGTTGAGGACCCATGCCCTAGGATTTACCACAAATACGATGACATGTCCATAAGGACAGTTTTGTTTTGTGGATTACCTTTTCCAGATATGAGTTCCAATTAAGTGATTCCTAGACATTTCACCTTCTCTCCAAATGGAATAGTTTCAATCATTAAGGACATGGTCTTAAGTCCTCCAGTTATCTTTCCCCGGTGAATGGTACTATTACTGTTTCTTGTTGGTTTACAGACATCTGTTCCTTGTTACACTAGTTACCCATCGCATCCATTGTTTCTTGAAGGGTATTAGATTACTCCTTTAAAGTTTCCTCCGACTAGTATGACTACATCATCTGCATAATGCTAGAACCTCAACCTCCCACAGTGCAAGAATAGCCAGTAAGTAACCCACTAGAAGTGACCACAGAAGGGGGAAGAACCCCATCTTGCAGGTATCCTCTTGTGCAGTAGCGGCTGGTGGATTTAGGTTACACTATATCTCAGTATTGGAGCATGGAAACCAAGCAATATTTTAAGGCACGACTAACAATAATGAATGAAGAAATTTTTTTTTTCGTAATCAAAAGGAAAATGTATCACTCCGTTTTTTTGGTTTTCGAAAATTTTCATTTTTTTAAAGTTATGACAATTTCAAATTTACACAATGAAGAACTTAAATTTTAAAATGTCATAACTTCACGAAAAAATAAAAATTTTCGAAAACAAAAAAAAAATGGGGTGATAAATTTTCCTTCTAATTGTGAAAAAAAAATAGTTTGCAAATATTTTACTAATGGTTTAGAAATAATCTGGGGTGGCAGCGCATTTTTGTAATTCTTTTTCTCGCTTTTTTTTAAATTTTTTTTTCTGCAAAACTTCTTCCTTTAGTACTGATAATTGTGCCTTAAAATATTGTTTGAATCCCCTGCTCCAATACTCAAATATGGTATAACCTAAATCCACCCGCCGCCACTACTCTTATGGCTCTAAAGCTAACTGCTTCTTTCTGTGGAGACATTATTATGGTTTACAACCATTACTATACATAAACTTTTTTTTTTATTGAACTCAATTTTATTTTCTTTATTTTTTTATCTTATTTAACAGCATTCCTAAGGCAACTAAAGAATTGAATTTACCCTTATTCAAAAGAAAAATTAGGAAAATGTTGGTGGAAAATGAATTTGTTAATAATTTAAAATAGTTTTTTCTTTTTATAAGTTTGTCTATCTGATTCTGTTGTTAGTGTATAACAATTTTTATTTTGTTTTTTATGCCTTAAGTTTTAAAATGTGACATACTATATGTATGCTCTTGATTAAGTTTATATTTATATATAGTGATTAAGTTTTAAAATGTGACAATATAAATTAATTGCAATATAGACAACTATTTCACTATTTTTTGGACGTACCAAATGTACATAACATGTATCTAAATTGGGAAATAAATTTCTATTCTATTCTATTCTATACACGTTTTTTATCAATAAGAATTTCATTGTAGACAACTTCTGATCGGTACAAAATTATTATGGAAAAACGTATAAGGTGTTTTGTTAAGCAAACAAAAAACATAGATGTATAAAGTTTTAATATTATGCAATATATCAGGATAGTCACCAGGATCTAATAAATTTTGTTTAAAAAATAATGATAATAATAATAATAATAAAAGTGCTTACATAAGTCATAAAAATTACACAGTACAGGAACTTAATAAGTATAGAACGTATTCAAAAAATATTAAAATAAATCATTATTTAAAAATTCGTCAAAACTATAAAATGCTTTTTTACCTAAATATGTTTTTATATTTCTTTTTTAAGTCATTAACTTTAGTAGAGAAAATTTTATAAATCTTAACACAATAATAGTTAATATTGTCTCTAGTTTTTGAAAGTCTCAGTTTGCAAAGTTTCAATTTGTCTTTATTACGAGTTTCATAATTATGATCATTACTGTGTTTGGAATAACTATGCAAATGATCTTTAAGGTACATTAAACAATTAAGAATATATACACACAGTGTGGTAAAAATATTTAATTATGTAAACTTTGATCTACAGTCTCTATAATTGAGGTTGGCAATGATTCTGATACATCTCCTTTGTATTGCAAATACTTCAGACATATGTGCTGAGCAACCCCAATTTAGTATGGCATATGACATGTTGTAATGAAAATAGGCATGGTAAGCTGTTAACAAAACGTTACTTGATATATTATTTTTTAAATTACGGATCATGTAGGCACATTTTGATAGTTTTTTAGTTAGATCATTTATATGAGCTGCCCAAGTCAATCTTGAATCAAGAACAACTCCTAAGAATTTTAACCATATCAGATGTGCCTTCATTATATTTACCTAAACAGAAGTAAAGTGATTGGCACTTGTCTGCATTTAAAATTAATTTATTAGTATTGAACCAGCTCTGTGTGACATTTCTGTTATTTATTGTTTCAAGGAAAAGGTAATTTGTTGATTCATTGCATGTGATAGTTGTGGTATCATTGACAAAAAGACTAAAATTGCTGTTGACTTTAAAATTTGGCAAAACATAAATGTATATTAGCAAAGTATAGGGCCTATCACAGATCCTGTGGTACCCCATACTCTACAGACTTAAGACTGGACCTACAATTATTATATGTAACATACTGTTATCTATTAGTAAGGTATGATTTTATTAGACTAATACTATTTTGGTCAAATTTATAAAAAGTTAGTTTTTTTAATAAAATCAGATGGGATATACAGTCAAAAGTCTTTGAGAGGTCATAGAAGTTGGCATTAATGTGTTGGTTATTTTGAAATCCATTGTTAATTATTTGTATGAGTTTTTTTATGGCCAGAGTAGTTGATGAATATTTCCTAAAACCATATTGCGCTGACGTGTATAACTGATTTGTTTCAAAGTAAGAAACTATTTACATTTTAAGAACTGCCTCAAAGATTTTTGCTAGTCATGGTAATAGGCTAATAGGTCGATAATTAGATGTATTTTCAGTGGAGTCCTTTTTGAAATCAGGGCTAACCTTAATTAGTTTCAGAACTCTTAGAAAAGTGTGTTCACGAATACACATATTGATTAGATTCGTTAACGCGTAAATAATTAAGTTCTGTAGAGTTTTATTGATCTTTATTTTTTAAATTGTTGATAATAGATCATACTTCATTGTACTATACTTCTCGAAAAATAGAAGTAGTGACATTAATAAATCAGAGGGTATTTTGCTTATTAGGGGCACATTATCTAAGATATCGCTTGCTATATTGGGAAAACATAAATTAAAATCATTGGCATTGAGTGTGCTGGTGTTTGGGAAATTAATAGTAGGGTTATTACTTTTAATTATTTTCCACATAGCAGTTTGTTTATTTCCAGACTTATTGATATATTCATCATGCACCTATTTTTTAGCTTCACGGATTGCTTCACAGTATTTTGACTTAAAAGCATTAATGTCTATTTTTGACATTAAGTTTGGATCAGACTTAAGCATATTGTTTAATAAAGTTAGTTTCCCGCATTGATTTAAGGTTTTCATTAAACCAATGAATTTTTACTTCGGTATTTCTGAATACTTTTGATTTTATCGGGAGTGAAAAGTCTTGTGCTTCTAATATAATTTGAAATTGTGTTTTCAATTCTATTATACAGTAAGAACAGGCTGGTATCTGTAATAGGTCTGTAGATAACTTTACATGACATCTGTTTAGGACATTCAACATTAAAATCGATATTTATAACTATATGATCTGAAAGTTGTGATCGATAACTTTGGTTACAGTGGTTTGACAGGTTAGTGAAAACATTGTCGAAACAAGAGTTATTTCTGGTATTTTCATTAAGTATATGTGATAGGCCATATGACTGGAACACATTTATAATTAGAAGGGCATTTGGGTCTGAAGTATTAAACTTAACATTAAAATCACCTGTTACAATTATATAGTCTAAAAGGTTCAATTTATCTAAAGCCATTGATAACTTATTTATAACTGACATTGTCCAGTATAACATTTTTCAATATTGAATTTCTTTATTAGCTGTATGAATAATTGTCAATACTTTTAATTAATTAATTCAACACCACAAGCAATACAACCTGAAGGTACCTGAATGTACCTTGTGTGGGAGAGGGCTACACATTTAGAGACAATGGACTCACACCCAATGTCCGAGTATGCTAGGATTAATTTCTGGTTTAGAAAAAATCCTTGCTCCTCAACCAGGGATCGAACCTAGGACTCCAGAGCGAGAGACAAGTGTCCTTACCACTCGACCACAAAGCAAATACTTAAGATGATATATCTAATATCATAATTGAGGAGGGTAGGAACAAAAACTGATATATCAATTTTTACTACCAACTTTTATAATTATTGTAAATTTATTGTAAAGGAAATAGATTTATAGATTTTGGATATAATCATCATATTTAAAATGTCTTTTTAAGGTAGATTTAGCGACTTTTGATCAAGTCTGTTCATGGCATCATATGTATTGCAATAAAAACTCTCGATCGTAACTGCAACATATAAAAGTAGCAAAAATGGATATATTGGTTTTTGTTCTAACCTTTCTCAATTTGAATATATTCAGAAATTCAAATGTACTCTATTATTACCATAAAGCTATATAGGACAGTTTCGCTGTGAACAAAGGAACTACTAAAAAAACTACCCTTTATGAGCTTCCTCCTTGGTTTTAGTATATAAAAAAATGTTACTTACGTTAAACGACCACACACTAGGACTCTATGTTTTGTTCTTGACATTTGAGCATCAAAGGGAACCTCATGAAATTGATTAATAGAATTTGCCGCAGCAGATAAGAGTCCCGTTCCAAAGATACATAATGCGAAAGTACTCCACTCAAATGGGGCAGGAGCTACTGCATAATCCAGCCATTGATGTGACAACAACAAGAGCTATAAAATCAAGGTAAAATGACAGAAGTATATTATAGTAATATACATTTTCTAAACAGTTATCTCAAAGTACTTACTAGTTAAGCGTATTTTTGACAATTTTAAGTAATGTTGAAGTAAATTTGATCCATCTGTTGATGGAGTAGGTTTCCATGCAGGAACATTTTTTTGGTTTGTCAGGTAAAAGTTTTATTTCATCTGATAATATATCTATCGTGGGTGGTGACGACTGCGCTTTAGTTTTATTAACATAGTAATTAGATGGTACAAAAAATTTTACATATTTCTAAAATATCCAAATAAGTTATAATGTATGTGTTAAGTATAATGCAGTAGTTTTACCTTAGATAATAAATTAGGGCTGAATAAGTTGGACTGTCTACATAACCTCAATTGAACTTGAATTATTGTGGACATTATAAATTAATAACATTAACTACATGAAGGTTACATAATATAACCAAATTTTAAAATAGTTAAGTTTCAGTGGATGCAGGTACATCAGGTAACTTCAGTTTTATGGCATATTTTCTTAATTAACTTTATTTTTAAGGTTAATGATTATTTTCATTGGTTATTACGTCACTTCTTCTTCTTCTAAAGGCAATGCCAAACAGCAGGCAGAAGGCACAAACAGGGTTGTCTCTGCAGTAGATATCCTAGAAATCTTGAAGTGTGCTACATCTATATATAAAAATTTATCCAGTCTCATGCAGTCATTCACATAAATAAAAATGGAGGTATGTTTTTACGGTATATTGATTGACGTTCATCGTTATTATACAGGGTGTTCCTAAATATCATGTACATACACAAGGGGGTAATTCTTTGGCTTATTTAATGACTGAAAGTTTATATAAACATAGGTCCGCAAATGCTTCTTTACTGATCTACAGGGTGTTGATATTTGAAGATTTTTTTTTCTTTATAGCTCCTGCAGTATTTGAGATATTTATCCCCTTGCGTATGTACATGATATTTAGGAACACCCTGTATATAATTTTATTTATTTTCAAATAGAATAGATGGGTTGGTGAATGGACGAAATTACATATATATGCGATAGAAAGATATAAACAGGATTGGTGTATACCGGTATGTGCAGTCATTCCAGTAAAAAATTTGCGAGAGACAAAATTAATACCAATGTATACATATGTACATACATATATATATATATATATATATATATATATATATATATATATATATATATATATATATATATATATATATATATATATATACCGGGTGGCCCAGGGACTAGGGAACCCCCCAAATTTTTCTACAATTTTTGAGATAGAAATTTGAAATTTGTAGGGGATGAATCAAGACAAAAATTGTAATTTTTTGATCCACCCCGCGCCAAAAAAGTCACTTCCGGTTTAACCGGAAGTGACTCCAACTTTCTTATTTTAAATAGCACCCTGTATATTTAGGTGATTTTTCTGATGAATATTTAATTTCCCTTTATAAAGCTTTTTTCAGATTTAAAATCGGTTCATAAATAACCCAGACAATTACATTTGTTTGTTTCTTTTAAGAAGGCCATGAATCTAATAAACGAAATACATTATAAATAAAATAATTGTTAACACTCGTTGTAAGGGTGTCTACCATCATTACTATTATGTAATTGTAATTATTTCTCATATCGTTTATTTCTTTATTTACGTTTGTTTATTTTTTTTTTCGATATGTTTATTTTTTACATTTCGTACTACCATAACTTGCTTATTTTGAATAGCATCCTGTGTGTTTTATGTCGTGTTTTTCTTCTCATCAAATTATTCTCTCCGATGATGTATGTATTTAATAATAACGTTATTAGTGCACAAAATGTCGAATATAAAATATTCCTGATACTGTTTTCACTCTTTTCCATGAGTAGGCTGTGTACTCGTATACCTAGGTACGTGAAAATGTAATTTTTAAGTGATCCAATTGTTTACACTTATCAAATTATACCTATTGTAGTATAATAATAATAGTAATAACAAAAAGCATAAATTTATTTAATAATTAAACATGTACATCTACCCTACCCGACAAAATTGACTATTCATTGCAAATAAAGAAATTAGGAAGTAAGTTTTGGAAGACCAGAGTTATAAACTAGAAAATAATGAAGAAATAGTGAGTGCTATACATTGAACTAAAGTACAGAAACTTATAAAAACTGAACTAAATTAAATGTTAAATAACTAAAACCTTATAAATTTTGTTCAAAATGGCCTCGGTTTGCTTGAATACAAGCACGAACTCTTTCTGAACGTTCTCTCATTACATTTCGTAAGATTTGGGCATTTATGTTATTAATTGCCTGTCTCACTCTATCCTCGAGATCTTCTGTAGTAGTCGGCTGCTGAGAATATACATTATTTTTTAAATATCCCCACAAATAATAGTCTAATGGACTCAAGTCCGGTGATCTCGCACCATCTAGTTGGATCATGAGTACCTATCCAGGATCTGCAAAACGATTATTTAAATATATTCTAACCTCAAGTGTATTATGGGGCGGAGCTCCATTCTGTTGGAAAAAATAACATTCTTTCTCGAGCAATAGGTAAATTCTCTAAAGTAAAACGTATTTTGCAAATAATTAAGTGAAATTAACAGAAAATGTTATTTAACATTTAATTTAGTTCAGTTTTTATGTTTCTGTACTTTAGTTCAATGTATAGTACTCACTATTTCTTCATTATTTTCTAGTTTATAGCTATGGTCTTCCAAAACTTACTTCCTAGTTTCTTTATTTGCAATGAATAGTTCATTTTGTCGGGTAGGGTAGATGTACATGTTTAATTATTAAATAAATTTATGCTTTTTGTTATTACTATTATTATTATACTACAATAGGTATAATTTGATAAGGTGTAAACAATTGGATCACTTCTTAAAAATTACATTTTCACGTACCTAGGTATACGAGTACACAGCCTACTCATGGAAAAGAGTGAAAACAGTATCAGGAATATTTTATGTTCGCCGTTTTGTGCATTAATAACTTTATTATTATAACAAATACATACATCATCGGAGAGAATAATTTGATGAGAAGAAAAAACACCACATAAAACACACAGGATGCTATTCAAAATAAGCAAGTTATGGTAGTACGAAATGTAAAAAAATAAACATATCGAAAAAAATAACAAACGTAAATAAAGAAATACACGATATGAGAAATAATTACAATTACATAATAGTAATGATGGTAGACACCTTACAACGAGTGTTAACAATTATTTTCTTTATAATGTATTTCGTTTATTAGATTCATGGCCTTCTTACAAGAAACAAACAAATGTAATTGTCTGGGTTATTTATGAACCGATTTTAAATCTGAAAAAGCTTTATAAAGAGAAATTAAATATTCATCAGAAAAATCACCTAAATATACAGGGTGCTATATATGTGTGTATATATATATATATATATATATATATATATATATATATATATATATATATATATATATATATATATATATATATTATATATATATATATATATATATATATATATATATATATATATATATATATATTATATATATATATATATATATATATATATATATATATATATTATATATATATATATATATATATATATATATATATATATATATATATATATATATATATATATATATATATATATATATATATATATATATATATATATATATATATATATATATATATATATATATATATATATATAACGTGAGTCTTGGAAAAAATACAATGAATTTAATTTAATGTAACATGTCGAAAGTGAGTATAAGAACTAAGTTAACAAATGATATCAATTTAATTTATAAGCTTGAAAGCTGTACTTGGTCAGCATAAACAATGATTTCCAAGCTTATAACAAAGGA